GATCGCAGAGATAACCATCGTGTTAATAACACTGTGTAACTAAACAATAAAAACTTTTCTCACCTGTGCGGCGTGCGGCCAAAAAATTCAGATCTTTTACTCTATTTCGTCTGGAAACAGTAAAATTCGCAGATTCGTCACGATCACCAAGCAACGAAAATGTCATCATGACGGACTTCCTTTCGTCTATCAAAACCAGTCCAGCGAACCGGTTCGGTCAAAGTGGTCTCGGAGATTACTTAGCGCCCTCGATTACATGTCCAAACCAACAAGCTGAGGACAGTTTTAGAGTTGCCGGATTAAATCAAATAAGTCATGATTTGCAAACACTGCATATATTTTATTTTCAATAAATTCATAAATTCAATACAAATGTTAATTTAAGTATCAAAATTAAATGCACGTTCTTGATTTAAGTACTTTGAAGCAGTGGCGTAGCAAGACTCTCGTGCACCACCCCCCCCCCCCCCGCAAAAATATTCCGTGGAAATGACCAAAAAACTCTCGGACATAAGCTAAAACAACGCTTTTTTTATTTCGTCAAAAAGCACAACATGTCGCTATTAAAAGGCAATGGTAACCTAAATTTGCCGTTTATCTTGATTACTTGGTTATTTTTTCATACGTGCTTCCTCTTCTGCCCTTTGCGTTTCTGTGCGCCCCTGAGAGGTTTTGCTTTCGACATCATTCTGACAGCCTTCGTAATTTTGCCGGTGCTATCAAACCACAAGACGCCGAAAATCGACGACCCCCTGGCATTGTTACGTAACAAAACGATTTGAACAGAACTAACATCAACGTTATAAAATGTGTATTAATGGTTTTGCAATGCAACTTTTGGTTTTGCGACTCAAATTTCTAAATTCTAACCGTTTGGGCCCCTTTTCGCTGTGGACCCTCCAGCGACCGCGGGGGTTGCGGGGGTGGATGCTACGCCACTGCTTTGATGTTATTTGCAGAATATGATGAGGGGTTGCTTTCCTGTTGAAATTTGCCCACAATCTAAGAACAAAACGACACATTTATTGGGGGCATAAAAGATAGACGATTTAGATCATTTTGGCCGACCATCCAGCGTTCAACGCTGCAGACTACTGGCACCTTACGCCACACGATCCATTCAAAAATCACAGTAGGCCTACAGTTACCAGTAGTCTACTGGCAACTAAATTAACACAATTACATTTTACCAACCAAACACTTGTGTGAAGTGGGCTCATCATATGTAAACAGAAGCACTTTCAATATTTAATATCGCCCTACTACTGCGACGTTACCGACACTGAAGCTTTGTATTTGTGGTTGGTTCTCTCGGCAGTTATGCCGTTGGAAACCAGACTGCTCTTCGTGCTTTGGGTGTGACCGGAGGTGGTGCTGCGGCGGTCTCCCGTAACTGCGTTAGGAATGTCATTCGAGGATCCCATCGCGTCTGGAGGGCCTGGTGCGGACTTCCTGACAGTGCCGGCTAATCTTACTGCACCCTTTTTTCTGACACTGTTTTATTATATTCTTCCCTTTGTTTTGTATTTATGTGATTGCGAGCTTGCGTGTGTGTTTCGTTGTCCCATTAACCCTTTTGATTCCCACTAGTAGTTTCTCGAGGTAGTTTGAGCCCTTGAGCCATTTAGTCGGATTATCTTGTTTGTATTGCACCTTTTCCCCACCACTTGCCTCCACAAACTCACGCTCGGCGATGGGCTTTGTCCAACTTAGATGCCATATATATATATTAGTGTATACCGCTTGCTTTAGTTATCCCAATTTTAATTTGCAGTTATTGCGCACTTTTCCACGGTTTATTGGTTCGTTCGTTTTCTTCTTTTTTATCTGATAATTTTTCAAACTTTTCCATATTAGTGATTCAGAATTTCACCCCGGTTGATAGGAAAAGGCGAGCGGTAATTACAATTCAGTTAGATTTTTCCATGTTTAGAACCCATTGCCGAGTTTGCCAGCCCCTCGCCACTACTTTATATTGTTATTGGACACGTAGTGGACTTGTTCTCTTGTGGACTCTTGTTCTTTGACACGTTTTTAAAAAGTCGCTTTTCTCTTCGAATACTGGACCAATTGCTTTGAAATTTTCAGTGGTTAAAGATTAATTTTTTTGCTAGAAGGCTATTACTTTTATTTATTTCAAAATTTTGCGTGAATTCTATGAAATTTGATATTTCGTCTAAAATTTTGCTGTATTATTTTTTATCCATGGGAACACGGATTTTAGTCAGTGTCGTGACTGGCTGTACGTTTTGATTCTGCAAAATTCTTGCTACTGGAAAACTTTTTTGAGGGTACCGGTAGCGTCAAAGGTACCGGTAAGGACTGATTCGCTCTGGTCTAACGTGTCCATATATTTGTGCGTAGCTCTCTTGTTGGACACGTAGTGGACATAACGATCGTTTCAATATTATGTTGTTGTTGTTGTTGTTCTTGTTCTTTGACACGTTTTTAAAAAGTCGCTTTTCTCTTCGAACACTGGACCAATTGCTTTGAAATTTTCAGTGGTTAAAGATAAAAATTTTCTCCAGAAAGCTATTACTTTTTTTTTCGCTATGACGTCATCAAAATTATATGACTCTACGTGTCCATATATTTGAGCATAGCTCTCTTGTTATTTTTGCTTACGAATTTCTTTCCTATATTCTTTGAGTGGGGCTGGCTCAGTTAGATAAGCCGTACTCATTCTTTATATTGACTTGTTATTGGACACGTTTAGTGGCCATAACGATCGTTTCAATATTATGTTGTTGTTGTTGTTCTTGTTCTTTGACACGATTTTAAAAAGTCGCTTTTCTCTTCGAATACTGGACCAATTGCTTTGAAATTTTCAGTGGTTGAAGATAAAATTTTTCTCCAGAAGGCTATTACTTTTTTTTTCCGCTATGACGTCATCAAAATTATTGCCATTGGGTGGCGCTACGTGTCCATATATTTGAGCATAGCTCTCTTGTTCTTTACATGTTCAATTTAATTTTTATGTTAAGATTAAATTCTTATTTGTATTTATTTATAAATACCGTTTTTGCCCCCCTGCGCGGGGGAGGCCAGGGTTACTGGCAAATGTACATGTTATTGAATAAAAGTGCATGAAAACAAAAAATATGCTGGTACCGGTATGTACAGTAAGGGAACCGGTACCAGTTAAGATGCGGTATGGCGCGATTCCAAAAGAATTCTCAATGCAAACTGAAGTCGTACTGCGCTCAGTTTATACCAATAAATTTTTGGACTAATTCTCTGTTTCAAAACAACAACCTATCATGCCAATATGCCGCACCGGGATGCCACCAGTACCGGTATTTCAAATTGGTGTTCAGCAGCGACACAATAGATGCGGAAGATGTTTAAATTAAACTTGCCCTATCTAGCTGAATTTTTATTAGTTTAAAAAAGCAACTCACTTACCAGAGATGAAAAAGAAAACAACTTCCGTACCTCCTTTGATCACGCTGATTCACGATTTCTCGAGTAACACGGCGAAGCAACTGAGCAAGACCGGTTAGCTCACTTCCAGACCTCCTAAATAGGAGGTCTGATGTTCTGGATCGATAGCACGGATTTTTGAATCGCAGGCGAACCACTGAAGCGTGAATATGTGGTCTGCTAGATCGGTTCCAGCGGACATGTAATTAGGCCTAATGTATCCGTCACAAGTTATATTTGGAGTCACAGGAATGGGACTTTCTATATAGCTAAATATTGATGTCAATGTTACATTTGAAATTTGCCCTTTAAGCACTGTCGCGCGTAATCGGAATGTAAACGTCAGTTATCAATGACAGTACAGCGACGGTGACTACATATCAACAATATATCGAAATCTAAAAAATAACATTTTTCTATTAAATTTTAAGTCTTTTTAGTCGCTAAAAAGTTTTTTAAAATGGGTTTTAAATATCTATACATTTGAGGGAAAATATGTTTTATTCCATTTTTGTTACTTACATTTGGCACGCCTACATGGCCGTGTCACCGAGGGATACGACGCCGCAAAAGCAGGTTAGGGATGTCAACTTTGTCAAGTATTCAACTGTAATTATATATTAGTTCATTAACTCCATAGAGCACAGAAGAAAATAAACCACTTCGTTAAAACCCATCATAATTTCCAGAAGCATTACACAGCAGTAATAAAATAAGTTGGTATTTTATCTAAACGTACTCCTCTTCAGGTGCCTCTTTGTAGACCTATCGGAAATTCTCATTTCTACGGAGATTCGCATGACAGCTGCTCACTGTACGATTATTGTTTAAAATAGGAACGTCATTGATCATTTTATTGATATTCTCCGACAACTAACTAACATTTGACGACACGTCATCAGAATTGTTAGGCACAAAAATTAAGGTTGTTTTACGTAGTTAATTTCACATGTCACAAATTCTTAGAAAAATTATTGTCCCGACATTGGTATTTTTGCAGAACAAGTCGTTTTCGAGCTTGCTAAAAAGTAATCGCTTGCTAAAAAGTAATCGCACAAAAATGGAATTAGCATTCCACTATTCATATAATACCCAAGCTCATACACAGAAAGTGGACTTCGAGGTTAATGACAACTACCCACCCATGGCTGAGACTTCATAACGAACAATTAACGTTCATACAAAAATTGAAGAATTGAATGCAATGACCAAATAGTGCGGGTGCAAATTCAGGAAATATTCTGGCGACAATCACTCTCTTTGCTATAAACTAAACATTAACTGTAAACAGTTTCACGATGCAGTAAATGACGCGTGTATGGTGAAAAAAATCTTACCATATCCATCTACTAATTTTTATTTTAAAAAATCTTTAAAAATATTTAAGGGCCAAACATATTGAAAATTTCGATCAATTATGCCGATACTTATGAAAATTACAAAAAAGGCCAATATTGCCGATAATGATATCGACACATCTCTAGTCTACAGACGTCACGAATCCAACAGATGAAAGATTCCCAGGCTTATCTGAAATTTAGTCTATTTTGGAACCAACGTAGCAAACACGAACATTATACATTTTAGCATATATAGACCGAGTTTTCGAACTTGAGTATTGTGTTACTTACGAGAACCACAAGAAAGAATCACAAGATGAAATACCTTTTGATTGTACTCCTCGCCGCAGCAGTGTCTGGTAAGCTACTTATGTTGAACTGCTCTGATCACGGAGTTGATAATTAGTAATGATATAATTAGTGCTAGTAATTCATGACAAGTTTAACAACGCAGTCACAATAATGGCTATATTGCCAAATAGTGATGGTTCTTTGTGTTTTGCTTTATATTTTTCAATAGTATTTTGTCGAAACTCTCAGGTGATATTTTATTGAAATGACACCTGAGCTACACATGCTGGAATACAGCAACGCATATAGCTAAATATTTCGCAAATTGGCTTTTCCGTGATTTATAAAGAATGTTTGATAGGATTTTGAAGAATATTTATAGCTTTAAGTAAAATATATTTAATTCATTTTTGTTGTTGTTTACTTTAATTTTAGCACGCCCACACGATCGTATCGTCGGGGGATCAAACGCCCCAAGTGGAGCTTACCCATGGCAGGTATTTCACTCACTTATATGTTCGTTCATTGACGCCATAAAGCAGAAAAGAGAATGAAGTTCTTAAAACGCTTCAAAAAATATGTTAAATTGATATATTTTTTGGGAACATTATATGAAAATATCCTAAAATAATTTGAAGCTAAAAATACAAGCTATAATCATCAATGATTGGCAAGTTACGTTGGTAATTTTATCTCTGACGCATTTTTCTTTCAGGTTTCTCTTCGCAGACCAATCGGAGGTTCCCATTTTTGTGGAGGATCCCTTATCTCCATGGACTGGGTTATGACTGCTGCTCACTGCGTGTATGTTGTTAATTAGTACAGTTTAATTGATCATATTTTATTGACATTTTTTCACAACTGATTGAACATTTCTCGAGACGTCATCAGATAGTGTTCAGCACGAAAATTAAGGTTGTTTCACGTAGTTAATTTCACGTGTCATAAATTCTTTGAAAAATTATTGACAAAACGACAAAAATATGACTAGCTGCAATTGGATATATATGTTCTTGCAGCAAATTTAATATGGCGATTTCCAATAATACGATTTCAATACGGATATATATACATAAATGAAGAGGAAGAACTTCAAAAGCCCTCGTACTTAAAAAACGTTTCAATACAAGCTTAATACAGCAAATTTTTACAACTACTACAAGGTACACATATATAAAATGCCATTGTAAGAATGCTTTTTGTTTTACAGTCTCAACGGCGTTAATGTTGCAATCGGTAGCACAACTATTTCTAACCCCTTGGAAATAATTTCTGGAACATTCACAGCCAACCCCAACTACAACTCCAACACCATTAGCAATGACTTCGCCGTAATCAAACTGGCTTTCTCTGCCACACCTGGCGCAACCGTGAGTATAGAAAACACAATCAAAACTATTGAAACATGTTTCTTGAAATCACACTTTATTTAGTGTAAAAATTTGTTAAAATCTATTCATTTCAATTGATTATAGCATTCATTATATTTTTGAAGTTGATGTTCATCACTTTGCCGAAGCTGAAAATTGATTTTCTTGTGTGGATCAATAAAATCAATTTTTGTCGTGATGACTTGATTTTTTTTTCAATAAATAACGAACTTATTCCTTGTTATATCCAATTCAATATTTTACTTGTTGATTGGATGTTCATGTAGCGCAGGCAAGGGTAAAATATGAATCATAATATGTCAATAATCAGTAAATTATGCGATTTCATTTCCAGGTTGCTGCAATTGCCATGGCCAGTTCTGGACAAACTTTTACTGGAACTGCTGTCACCAGCGGATGGGGATACATCAATGGAGGAAGCAGTAAGTCACTTTGACTTGCGAATAAATAAATTATTTGTGCAAAAAAATTGGATCATCCTGCTTTCAGGTTTATAAATATACATTGCTGCATATAATTAAGGGCAGACAACTTTTTGTTTAAAAGTGCAGTTTACACTTTTTTTTATAAACATTTTGTTGCTTAATTAAGATCTTAATTTCTTTAGACCCCAACACCATCCCAAACGACTTGCAATACGCTGCAGTGCCTCTGGTTGACAGCGCCACTTGCAACAGCGCGTGGACCGTACTGCCCAACCAACAACGTATTGATGAGTCAATGCAGTGCGCCGGGGGAGATGGTGCAACTTCTTGCATGGTCAGTATAAAATTAATTCTCTGTCGTTTATACACGCTAGATAGAAATAGAAAATAAATGATGCTTTTTCAATCTAACCATTACAAAGTAAGAGCTTTTGTAAAGTAGTGTGCCGCACGTTAAATATAACATTTCCTACACGAACAATACTCTGACATTTTTTGAACAAATGGCTTATTATATTTGCAGGGTGACTCTGGTGGCCCACTCGTCCAACAAGTGAACGGAGTATGGACCCTCGTCGGCGCAGTATCCTGGGGAAGCAGCTCATGCAGCACAACCCAACCAGCTGTTTACGCCAGAATCGCTCACGGCAGAAGCTGGATCAACCAGGTCACAGGATTGTAAATCTACCGATCTACTTCCTTATGTCGCCTGATTAATTCGATTAATATAATTTATTCTAATTTCTGATGAATATGGTTCAAAATATACATTAAGCTTAATGAATACAAGATGACTATATTTAATAGTGTGGATGGGGAATAGTAGCCTACAATGCAATATTGAATTAACAATAATATTGCTTTAGTATATCTGTGTTTATACTTAACGACGTATGCGCTATTTTTGGAAGTTGAGAATTCTTCACATATAAAAACAAAGTGAAATAAAATATCTATTTCAATCTATGGAACATAAGTCATATATGTCACGATCATAATCCCCCGCCCAAGGGTGAACACTCCTAAGCGAATCTACTTGAATCTGCAAACCGTCAAGGGATAACACTAAGACTATTTATAAAACTATTCGACTTGAAGTCCAAAAAACTACATCTTAATAATTTTCGGCCATTTTGAATATGCATTTACTACCATTACGAACATTCGTCTACTTTGACAGGAACCCAAGGTACGTGTGGCCACTACCTGTGTAAAGGAGCTTTTTGAGAGTTTCTTTTGCTGTTTTCGACATCACCACCCTACGTATTTGTCTAGGCCAGCCATCCGAAATAAATCCGGGTTTGTGATTCCTTTGTAACGATTCCAACGGGACCATCATTTAATTCTCGCGACAAATTCGATCTTATCAAGTTTTAGTAATTACTCTTTAACCTCACCTTATCAAACGACAGTTCCACGTTTATAAAAACAGTGTGGCTTGATATCACATTTCTTTGACTTGGATAATGACCATCTACTGTAGATTCGTGAGTCATATACTATCCCGACAAGCTTGGTTTTACAACCGATCCGTCATTGACAAACAACAAATCGCAATACTATTCCCTAAATTTGCCATCGGCTTTGCATCCTTGAGAGTATCGGGGTATCATGTGTTACATTGTTTTTCTTGTTGATTTGAATTCGTTAATTTTAAAATGCTAGAAACAAAGCACATGTTATCCATGTTTTGAGAAAAAAAATATTAGGGGGCGATTCAGATTCAAATTGGCGGTTGACGGCAATCAACTGCGAATCTTCTTACGCACCTGCAACAATAAAACTTTTTGATTGCTCAACTAATTGCAAGTGCCCTTTTCCAAGACGGAAAATTCATGAGACATCACCGTGCCCAGACTATAAGCATCACAATCAAGTCAGCAGAACAAACTTATTTATTTACCTAACGCACAATTTTTCCTAACCATGATGATCATATACATACATTACGCTTCTTTGTGTTAGCTAAGAATTTTCTCAATTATATTCGCAACAACGAATGCATAGAACAATGTATAAATTTTCGAGCATATTTATGTATTATTTTAGCGGATATAAGAAAAATATGTGTGAACGTTTTTAGAAAGATATAAAAGCTGACCTTGCATCTAGTTCCATTTATATGTCTAACCACATGATATAAAGAACGGCCCAATGGATGTATTTTCTATTTAAGTCATTTAAATATAAATTACCAGTCACCACAAAGGATGGGTGGTTGATTGCGGTAGGCTACCACTACCTTGTTCTCCCCAACATTTGCGGTCCATGCCTTACCCTCCGCCCTAACTGTTATGGAACATGATTATTACGTTATGAGCTGTTTTACTTTAGAAAATTGCTGGCGAATAGGCAAATAAAAAATACCGACCTAGATTTTCGATACTTCTCTCCCAATTCCATTGATATTGCAATTTGAAATGGTGTTTGAAGATCTAATTCACTTCATTTTTCATCGTTAACTTTCTCTAGTGACCTTATAGCGTAAAAAGGAAAATCAAGTAGGACTAAAACGTCATTTCTCAATGAATTGAATTTAAATACATCCGATCACTTTCTAAGTCTTGCTGCATATCACACTCTCTGCGAAGAAGTTTAGATCCATTCTAGGAAATGCGACAAGTATTCGATAGGTTTTAGTAGGTAAGTTAAGGAATAAAGTTGAAAGCAAATATAATTGACAAATTTTATACCCATTCCATCAGACCAGCGTTTCTTAACCTGGGTTCGACGAAGGTTCTCTGAAAGAATTATATATATATATATATCATAGAACCTTCCTATTACCCAGCCTACTAATTACGCAAACTTAAGTTCATCTCAGATGTACAAACTTACACGTTTAAACAACTTATAATGCTGTGTGGAGCTTCGCACATGTGTACGTTTTAGTGGACCTGTAAATGAATGTTACACCTTAAATTTCATCACTACTCGTCGAACTCATATCGTCATAGATGTCTTACGTTTGGATGGATTTTTGGTGCTCCCGAAGTATGTGCATCAAGATGGCGCACAACCTGAAAATCGTATTTGTACCAGTTCAGAGTTAGCAGGCTGTGCGCCATCTGGTGCACATAATTCTGGAGCGCCCTTTTTCTATTATAGCGCACTTAAGTGCTTTCTGATTATGGACACAAAATATCTTAGGTTATTATGAATTGAGGTTTTAAGCTAAATATTTCCGTGACAGAAACCTTATTCATAGTCTACCTATAAATTGTAACTCCAGTTAACGGACAAATCGAAGATTGGGAGGAAGGGAGGAAGATAAATATTATGAAATCCTCTAGTGTTTGAGCTTTACTAAGTAATAAATTTGTGGCAAAAAAAACATTTTATTGCATAGCTTTGCTTAAAATTATCGACATTATTTCTGGACATCCTCAATATGGCGTTGAGTTAGGCTATATGATATCTCTATTTTTGTAAAACAATGGAAAAAAGCTTTTTATCCACATTTCAATTCAGCTTGAAACGTTTGGGAAACGAGTGACTTAAGCTGCCAACGTTTTTGAGGCGGCATAATTATCATCTTTCGGATTTCCAAAGTTGCAATTTTTGCATTATATATATATATTAGTTTTTCGCCTTCCACCCTCATAACCCAACAACAAAAAGCCTATACTACGCCTTGCCACCGACACCATTGTGACACAACAATGACTATTTCCACACACACACACACACACACACACACACACACACACACACACACACACACACACACACACACACACACACACACACACACACGGAGTATCTTAGGTCACGCCACGATTATTTTTTTCTATAAACTTGCGCAAAAATTAGTTTCCCCTCTATAAAGTTCTAATTGAGATTCAACTGTTCAGTACGATGGGGTACGATGGCAACTGTTCAATACAATTCGAGAAAGGATTGAATATCATATATTAATGTTTTTAAATATTATCGTCTCTATTTAAGTGTTTCAATTGTAGAATTGTATAATAGGCGGAGGTGAATAATTCCTAATTTGAATTTGAAAATAATTCGTAAAATTTGTCTTAACAAACCCAGTTAGGGCGGAGGGTAAGGCATGGACCGCACCCATCCTTCATGGTGACTGGTAATTTATATATAAATAACTTACGGTAAATAGAAAAGACATCCATTGAGCTGTTTTTAATATCATGTGGTTAGAAATATAAACGAAACTAGATGCAAGGACAGCTTTTATCCTTTCTAAAAACGTTTATACGTTTGATATGTCTGCAAGTTGTGTCGGTGCCAAAAGTAGATAATCTAAAACGACATGTTATCGATGTTCGGTAGTGCTTCAACTACTAACATAATTGTTGATATAAAAACTTTGATTAATGATAAATAATACTCAAATGTCTTGGGATTAATGTGGCCCGCGAACAACAAGGAATTAATATTGTGGCCCCCGACGCCAACAACCTTGTACCTAACTCTTTATTGTCATGTCAAGGTGTGACAATATCCGGTCATCCGCCGTATTCATTTTACTGCTGCCTATAGCTATTTTGGAGGCAATTTGATATCTTAAGAATTCCCATTTTACTTTAATAAGATATTTAAAATTTCCTCATACAATCATTACTCGATCAATGTATAAATATTTGATTTTAGCACGGGAGAAAAACGTATACATCCTATCTAAATTTAGTCGTTTTGTGTGATGCTCAAAATTGTACTATGTGCTAACGAATCAGGGTAGATCAATAATATATTTTTAAACACCAAAAAAGCGACTCTGAAATTTTTATCACAAATGCTATTACAATTACTCACCTATTGAAGTTGTAGGAAACAGCCATAGAAGTAAAAACGATATTTGATGCAAATTATCCGGTAAATGGGGCCATATCCAGAACACGGATAAATGTGCCAGGCAAATGGACGAGATGTTCTGCGCAACAAAGAATCAAGTTTCATGATAAAAGATTATTGGATGTGGAATTACTATAAACGAGGTTAAATTAAGTTCTTTTTTGTTCTTGTACTCATTCACGTAATAGCTTATCATGTTTGTCAAGTGATGTATATTTATCAAACAGTACATAAAACATATATTGTTGATTCAAGAAACAAAAGCTTTTCGTGAGCGAATCCTGGGAAATGACATATGCGAGTAAAGTCGTCATATTCAAACACGTCTTCAATAATAATTTATGTAATTCCCGAAACTTTTTCATCACTTGACACAGACCAAACCTTGATACTGACGTGGAGAAATATATATTACAGGCTAAGTGCAATAACCCGGTATTTAAGACGTCATTACAAATTCGAATGGAGTTATAGGCCGACTCCTTGCACAGTAAGCTTTGCTACTAGAATACTATTGCCAATATTACAGCATATACCGCCGCGTTGGTTAGCAGATTCGAAATTAGTTTGGGGGAGGGCCTGTCGCCTACCCAATTGCGGGTTCATATTCAAGATAAAGCATTCGTCGCCATTCATTTTTGCATCAGTGGCGGGGGTGAAAAGAATTATTAATAACGGTGTCACATTTCACTAATCTAAAAAACAATTAACAGAACAGAACATTCGCATTCACCTGAACTCCTGCAATACGCAAGTACACACGCGCACATACAATTGTAAACATTTGCTAAAAAGTGTAGACTCGAAAAACATACATATACGGTCTCGATGGAATTGAATTATCCAGATAAACAACTCTCGCAGACCAGATATCAACGCTATATTGGTGTCGGCTGTGTTGCTTGCCTCTGTTGGGCCGACAGTCCAACTCAACGCAAGTGAGTCTTATATCTTTGCAGTTGTGTATA